CCGCGGTGGTGCGGGCGGCGGGCGCCGCCGGGGAAGATGGACCCGGCGCCCTCGCTGGGCTGCAGCCTCAAGGATGTGAAGTGGAGCTCGGTGGCCGTGCCGCTCGACCTGCTGGTCAGCACGTACCGGCTGCCCCAGATAGCGCGGCTGGACAGCGGTGAGTCCGGGCGCTCGGGCGAGGGGGGCGCGGACCGCAGTCTGGGTGCGGGTGTGCGCTCGTGTGCCCGAGAGGGTGGGATTTGGTGTAAGGGCCACGGGGGTGGGGTGGGGGGCTGCCAGCCCCAGAGTTGGCCCTAGCGGCTGCCGCAGCCCTGGCGCGCAGCTCCCAACGCCCTCCAGCAGCCAGAAATGTGGAAATCAGAGTCCTTGCAGTGTAATTAAAAAGGACGCTTAAAAAAAAGAGAGAGAGAGTAAACATCAACACCGGGGGAATCTCCGCAGATGTAATCCTGGAGGCGAGCTGTCCATCCCCACCCTCCTGCAAGACTTACTCAACCCGGGAAACCCTGAAGTTATCTTCGGCAACTTTCTTACCAAAATAATCGTGCTCTGGGTGGCATCTTTATTTTGAGCGCAGCAGCAGGTTTAAGAGGAAAAGATCCTGGGTGACCAATGAAAGGGATCACATTTCGCAGAGACCGTTTATTACAGCATGTCGGTTTGGTTTTTAACTGAACTGAAAGGAATTTAGGGCTGTGTGTAGAAATTGGAGCAGAAGTGATGGTATGCTTAAGGTTAATTATTAGCTTAGCTAATTTCCAGCCTGGAGAAAAATTGAGAGAGAGAGAGAGACAGACAGACACACACACACAGACACACACACACACACACACATACTGCATTGGAACTAAGTATGCTTAAGGTTAATTATTAGCTTAGCTCATTTCCAGCCTGGAGAAAAATTTAGAGAGAGAGGCAGATAGACAGACAGACACACACACACACATGCACACACACTGCACACACACACACTGCATACACATACACACACACACACACACACACACACACACACTATGCATTGGAACTAAGAAACTCTTGTACTTCCCGAGATTGACCACTAGAAACTAACCAGTTATCCCCTCCACTGTTTGTTCTGCCATCAGGCATCTGCAAACAAGTAGATGGATGTGCGTTCTGTCTAACAAGTGGACACCTTTCAGTTTGAGAGTTGTGAAATACTAAGGTGGCAATTTGGGTGTGTTTTGCCTTTTTGTTTTCAGAGAAACTTCAGTTGATTTTGGCTTCTGTGGATTCCAGGCTGTTTGCAGAAAGAAACCTACTCCCAAGTTGGGCTTCCAAAGCACCTGGGCCCAGACAGGCAGCTAGAGCTGTGGCCACGCAGGCTGAGGCCGAAAGATGCCCTTTCAGTCACAGCGACTTGGGTTACCCTTTGTTTTCTAAAGTGAAAGAGTGCGTAACACGAGATGCATACATACCCAAAGGAATTTTTGTTCAGTTTCTTATCTGTGGGGTTAGATTAAACATTTGAAGTAGACTGATGTGGAAAATAAATGCAGGAAAGTTCACGAATTCTGGAAAACCCTCTTGGCATACTTGCTAGTCTTGTTTGGTTGGTGCTGGTACAGGGAATAAACTGAGAGTTGCGGAAACCAGTGCTGAAGTGGGGGTGACAGAAGTGGTTGAATGGAGGGGGTGGGGAGACAGGTGGTGTGTTGAGGCATTCTGTACTGGGGCTGGGAAAGTGTTTGGTACTTTAAATATTTATATGGAGACCTGGCCCTGGGGTGTGTGTCGAAATCACAATATTTCATTTGCTCCTCCACTGTGCAAAATTGGTGTTTATTAGAAGGTTACGAGTCTTCACCTTTTTCATCCTGGTCTCAGCTCTGCACAGCCTTAAACTCATTAGCGAGGCCGAGGGCCTGGGGGTTAGTGGTGTAAAAGTCACCCCAAAGTTTCATTAACCTGGGAGATTCAAGAGAATGAATATCAGTCTCAAGCATCACTTTTTGTTGTATTATCCACTTTCCTGCCGCTGCCACTCATGAACAGGGTGTGGATCAGCAGTGTGCTGATACCACCTTGGATACCCCGTCAGCTTGACGCTGTGCATGTTCAGAGCCTGCACTGGATTAGGAGCACTGTGGGTAAGCCTAAATTCTCCACTGGAAATTTCTCATATTTTTCTTTTTATTACCACCTGAAAACCACGGTGGGACACACTAAGTTCGAAACATAGCCAGACTCTGCTTTATGCCATGGTTCTCTCACTCACAACTCCATGCTATGTGCTCCTCTTCCATTGAGAGGACTTTTAGTAGAAACTGGTTGCCCTTGACTCAGCTCCTCACGTGTGTGAGAAGAAAGACCTAGCTGATTTTTTTTTCAGAGTGGATTACCAGGCCTTGCTTCTGAGGTGGCACTGGGTGAATTTGAACCTCCAACCTTTAGGCTAGCTGTCAAGTGCTTTTAGATTTGCACCACCTAAGGCATAGGTTCCCAAACCTATTTGGGCTACTTTCCCCTTTTCAGAAAAAAAGCCCAACTGAAACTAAGTAACACCTCCCACCCCCATTCCGGCAATTAAAGACATTTTGTATTATAGCCCATAAGCCTGGATAAAACGTAGGTATCTGGGTTTGCAGCCCCAGTCCCCAGTCATTCCATTCTCCCACCTCACCCCCCTCCAGGGACTGTATCTCCCACTTTGGGAAACACTGACCTCGGGATTTCATGATTTTTAATAACTGCACACTGTTATCATTTAGAATGTTAACATTGTACCATTTGGTCCCCTATTAAAACCAAATTCACGGCCATTGAGTTGATTCCAACTCATAGTGACCCTATAGGACAGAGTCAAACTGCCTCTGCAGGTTTCTGAGACTGTTACTCTTTACTGGAGCAGAAAGCCTCATCCTTCACCCGTGGAGTGGCTGGTGGTTTTGAACTGTTGACCGTTGTGGTTAGCAGCCCAGCATGTAACCCACTACCCCGCTAGTGCCCCTCCTACTGTTGACGTTATGGCACAAATGACCTACCACTTGACTAACTGAAATTCCGGTGGTTTGAACCTGCCCCAGGGTACCTCTGAAGGAAGACGTGGCAAGTTGCTTTGGAAATAGAAACAATTAATAATCACAAACTGTGGAGTATAGCTCTGTGCGTGCGCGCGCGCACACACACACACACACACACACACACACACACCACCCCCCACCCGCATCACTGTGAGTTTGAATTGACTCTGACAACTGGTTTGTTTGTTTTTTTGTTATCACGTTTTAGATATTTTGCTTCCGTTTTGTTTTTTCTTTGGGTTTTTTTTTTCAATTATAGTTAGTGGTAGGATGGGCATTCTTGTACATCATTATATTTATTTGATTAGGATATATATGTTCCTACCTTGCAAAGTAAACAAGTGACTCCTTTTAAAGTACTTTATATACCTTGTAGTGTTGCTTTAAAGAAAGAATAAACTTATTTACCCTCCCAGGAACTCACCTTAACAATTTTGACTATCTTAAAATATTTTTTATTTTTTTGCTAATTTCATGGAGGAGAGTGTTAGCTATCAACGTGACATGAGTAGATTTTAAAGGATGGAATCAAAGACTGTTTCTTTTAAAATGTGTTCTGCGGTAACGATTAAACAAGGGAATATGCTGATATATTTATAAATGTGATAGTGAAACTTCAAGGGTCCTGGTCCTGTGTATGCCCTTTGCCAGTTTTAGTCCCACAGGCCCATTTTACACAACACACGTGCACACGTACTCAGATGTGAAAGGAGATCATTTTCCAAATCACTTGTTTTAAGAGAGACAAGGAAGGGATTGGAAAATAAGCCATTAGTTGACATGATGCTAAGAGGAATTGTGGGCCATCCTTTTGAACTACTATTGAAGGGCATTTTTTTTTAAGCCTGGTTTCCTAACATTTGGTTAATGATTGGCTGGGGGCTCCCCACTATGTGCTGATACATTTCTAGGTGTTCTATATCTGTGGTTTCCCATGCTCCGCAACTTCTCAGGGATTCAGGGAAGTCAGGTGAGCAGCTGGCTGCTGTGGGAAGGCTCATCCTTCTTACAGGATGGAAGGGGATTATAAACAAACCTTTCTGACCCTAAACACTGACTGTTTCCTACAAACTGCTCCTTTCTCATACACACTGGGAGTATGCTTAGGATAGGTTTAGCGTCTGCTCTAAAGAGCCCCACTGTCTCTCCAGTATTTGAGGACCGGAAAGTCAATATTTTTAAAACAGTGCAAACACAGAATGAGTGCTCCTTCATATTTAGACGATTTCTACTTCCCAAAGGAGTGACTCAAAGGGGCAGTAGGGAAGAGGAGGTTTGGGAAACAGAAGGAAAGAGTGGACTGGCGGAGATGTGGCTCCTCAGCCTGCTTTATGCCACCAGGTGCACATCAAAGAATGTCCCCGTTGTTGGCGTTTTACAGGTCGCTCACAAAATGCCCATCTGACAAGTGCATTCACCATGATAGCCTCGCTGGTGAGATATGCCTTTGTATGATAAGATAAACTACAGGCGATGCTAGGGACCTTTCATGGCATGGCTGCACAGGTCTTACAGGAAAGCTCAAGAAAAAGTCACTCCAGCGATTCTTGGGAGTGAGCAAAGTCTCAACAGCGCAACCCAGTCAGCATGAAAATTCTCTCTCTCACTCCAGGTAGTCCATGCCGACTCATGGTGATCCCATAGGGCAGGGCCGAACTACCCCGGGTGTTTCCAAGACTGTTCGCAGAAGTAGAAAGCCCCTTCTTTGTCCTGGGGAGTCGCTGGTGATTTCGTACTGCTAACCTTAAGGATCACAGTCTAACGCGTAGCCACTGCGCCATCTGGGCTCAAAGCAGTAGAATTAGGACCGATATTTAAACTCAGGGTTAGTGTTAGAAATTGTTTCCTCTAGAGCTAGATTCAACAGATGTGTTTAGGGCCGAAATTGTTTCCTCTAGAGCTAGATTCAACAGATGTGTTTAGGGCCAAGGAGAGGGTACCAAGAATACTAATCTTTTCCCCACTTCCAAGTGATAAACTCACAAAGCTGTGTAGGTGAGCAGTTATTTATTTTCTGTCTCCTGATTTCTTCCTGAAGAGTGTTCTAGAGACTTAGTCTGGAGCAGGATGCGTCCAGCTTTTTGCTCTGAAGTTCTTTAGAGAGTCTGTGAAA